CCTCTCTTTCCCATGTGGCCTCTTCTGACTTTCGCTCTAAATCCATACTGGATGCAGTACTTTGAGCCCTTTGTACCGTCTCCTTGTAAGACATTTCACCATGACTTTTAATCATGTGCCTAAGCTCCGGGCGTAGGCCATCTGTAAATTTGATTGCTTTCTCTATGTCCGTGGGGATAAGCTCTGCTCCAAACTGGCTCAAGTCAGTAAATTTTCTTTCATATTCAGAGACGGACATCCTCCCTTGATCCAATTCCCAGAATTCTTTTCTTTTCTCAGCTCGGTAGTATTTGGGATAGTACTGATCCCTCAAGATCTCCTTGAATTCATCCCAAGTTAAGTTGTCATGCTCTCCTTCGGGCCTGGTCCTCCAATAACCTTCGTACCAGCGGTCAGCTCCTCCCGTGAGTTTGAATTCGCCACATGCCACCCTTTGTGCATCGGTGCAACGGGTAAACTTAAATATCTTTTCTAGAGCTCGAATCCAATCCTCCACAATGGTCGGGTCTCCTTCCCCTGTGAAAGATGGTGGGTTGGCCTGCCGAAATTGTTCCACCACTTGGAATTGGTCCCAATTCGGGGCTGGGGGAACATTATTGTTGTTGGCACGATTGTTGTAGCGATTACGCCTAGGCGGGCTTGGAAACATCCTACTCATCAATTTTATTGTAACCGTTAGAAGATTTAAAATGTAACCAAATGGTAGATAGTATACTAAAATAGAAAGACGATTTTATTTCCATTACTTGGATAAACTCCCTTTCGGGCCAAAAAAAAATGTGAAACGATTCTTAAAATACTAGGGACAATTATTCATCATAGATACTCGTTCTAAGATGCTTCTAGATGACTAGGATCTCGGGGTTTTCTTCGTCGGGATGCTCACTTGGGTCCTCCTCGGTATCCTCATCCTCGGATTCTGTCTCACCCTCGGACTCTATGTCCTCTTCGTTTAGGTACTCCTCGAGCCAATGATGGAATATGGCTCCTGCATATNCATTGGCCAAACTTTTGGATTTAATTTTATTAATTATTAATTTAATTGTCTTTTTTTTTAGTATTTTAAGAAGATCAATTATGGACCAAGATTTGATTTCAAATCTATATCATACCATAATTGTGTATCTTTCAAAAATCCTATTGATTTCACCTTCCTAAATTCTATTGATTTCACCTTCCTAAATTGACCCACTAACTAGTATAAATATCCTACACCCTAAGACTCTTTTTGACACAAATCATTCGAGAGGTAAATATTTTCCTCGTCTTCTCTCTCTCTCCCTTTCTTCCTTTCCTTCGTTCTTCCGTTCGAATTATCATTCTTCGACACCGTCCCCGGCCATGCGCCGTTATTCTGTCACCGCCGGACTGCCTTGCCGGATCCATGTGCGTGTGTCAATGGGAACGGTGGCAAACAAGTTGGATGAATGTTATTAGCTTTATATTGTTTATTTCTTAAAAATTCTCGGCAATGAATTGTGAGATTATGGAATTTTATCTAGCAATTTGCTAAGATTTCGTTTGATTTTCCATTCCACAAAGCCGTTTGAGCACGAGATTATTCGTTAAAAGATATACATATATAGTATATATATATATATATCTCCCGCACACTACACACATATCTACTTAATTTTCTTGTTTATTTATTTGTTTATTTATTTATTTTATTGCTATCACTTCTTCATTACATAATACATATATTAAACAAATACATATATATATATATATGTTGTACACACGCACACACCACACTATATTATATGAATAAGTATCTATATTATATACACGCACCCACACCACACAAATCTCAAAATATATATATATATATATATATATATATATTTATATATATCATACACACACACGCACACACTACACACATATATATTTTAATAACCCTTCATCCGGATGAAGGGTTATTAAAATAGATATAACTCTATGTCTATGTAGATACAAAAAGAAGAATAATTAATATATATAGCGTATATGTTAAATATACATATAAATTCATATAAAATAATTGGTGTGTGGTTTAAAATATATATATAAATATATATATGTGTGTAGTGTGTGCGTGTGTGTGTATGATATATATATATATATTTTGAGATTTGTGTGGTGTGGGTGCGTGTATATAATATAGATACTTATTCATATAATATAGTGTGGTGTGTGCGTGTGTACAACATATATATATATATATGTATTTGTTTAATATATGTATTATGTAATGAAGAAGTGATAGCAATAAAATAAATAAATAAACAAATAAATAAACAAGAAAATTAAGTAGATATGTGTGTAGTGTGCGGGATATATATATATATATATACTATATATGTATATCTTTTAACGAATAATCTCGTGCTCAAACGGCTTTGTGGAATGGAAAATCAAACGAAATCTTAGCAAATTGCTAGATAAAATTCCATAATCTCACAATTCATTGCCGAGAATTTTTAAGAAATAAACAATATAAAGCTAATAACATTCATCCAACTTGTTTGCCACCGTTCCCATTGACACACGCACATGGATCCGGCAAGGCGGTCCGGCGGTGACAGAATAACGGCGCATGGCCGAGGACGGTGTCGAAGAATGATAATTCGAACGGAAGAACGAAGGAAAGGAAGAAAGGGAGAGAGAGAGAAGACGAGGAAAATATTTACCTCTCGAATGATTTGTGTCAAAAAGAGTCTTAGGGTGTAGGATATTTATACTAGTTAGTGGGTCAATTTAGGAAGGTGAAATCAATAGAATTTAGGAAGGTGAAATCAATAGGATTTTTGAAAGATACACAATTATGGTATGATATAGATTTGAAATCAAATCTTGGTCCATAATTGATCTTCTTAAAATACTAAAAAAAAAGACAATTAAATTAATAATTAATAAAATTAAATCCAAAAGTTTGGCCAATGAAATTACGGGTTATTACAAAAGATATGTACAATGTTCGAGCGGCCGAATGGCCAATAGAAATCAAGAGTTCCTCAAGGGGAACTAAAAAAATACAACCAAGACAATGTAACTAAAAGGCAGTAAAAGTACTAGAACCTTTAGCTAGCCTATCTAGGCCTAAATCAAAAGGAATAACTAGCCACTACACCAAAGGAACAGTAGAAAAACTAGAGGGAAACCATAACAGGACAATACATAAACAAAAGAAGTTCACGGTCCAAAATACATCATGAAGAGTTAACATAAGAGAATGCTTTCCACTTAGAGAGAGCTGATTTGATTGCTTCCTTCTCTGGACACCATGACTTCTGGTCTGTATTTCCATAACCACCACAGTATGTATGTGGTGAGCTCGATTCTGTCTATAACGTCAGGACCTTCTGCTAGACAAATGTCTTTCCACCAGAACTTGAAAAAAGGTGTCTCAGAGTGTTTGTTGTTCCAGTTGAGTGGTGCTAACTTCCACATTGGTTAAGCCCTGAAATAGTGGAAAAAAAAATTTGTTCAACGGATTCATCAGAATCCCCACAACAAGTACAAGTGGTATCAAGACTGATGCCTCGCTTAGCAAGGTTAAGGCAAACAGGGAGGGTGTTGTTAAAGCACTTCCAAATGAAGTGCTTCACTTTCCCCTTCAAATTCAGTTTCCAGTTGAAAGCTCTGACTGTTTTGATCCTAGCATCGGAGCATGTTTCTGGTATATCAGGCTTCCTGATTTTGCAATTTAGAAGTTGTGCATAAGATGAGGAAACTGAGAAAAGGCCTTTGCTATCCAAGACCCAAATGTATTTGTCTTTTCTTCCTCTGGCCTGGCTGGAGATGCTAATAATAGAATCACATTCCTGAGGTGAGAACAATGTAAATTGTTATATCAAAATATTTATAATGTATATAGTTATAAACTATAATGATAATTCAGTCATTGTCGAACTGTCATATAAATTAATAGAGAAAATAAAATAAAATATTAATAATGGACATTATTATAAATTATAAAAAATAAAATAAAATAATGTTAACGTAATTGAAAATTTTTAATACTTTTAACTTCAAAATAATATATATTACAGTCTTTTTCAATTAAATGTTAGTTATAATATTTGCCCCAATTTTTCAATTTTATCATAACTTATTTAGGAATTGAAATATTGTAATACTATACAAGTAGGGCAAGATAGAGAGAGAAGTATTATGTGACTATAATTTATTGATAATATTTAAATATTAAATTTTCATTGTCTTACACCTATTTTATAACGAATGTATTAACATATGAATCAAATATTAAGTTATTATATATCACAAAATAAAAGATAAAAATTAATAATAATATTCAAATTTATTTANAATTTCAAATTGTAGATAATCTCATTTAATAATGCAAGAAAAAATAAGATTCAGTACAGAACGACCGAATAACGCCTTGACAATTGGAGGTATACACAATACTAACATGTAGCCTAAACACCCATAACACACTAACACCCTGCAAACCTACACGAACAATAGCAGCTAAGCACGTTGACCTCTACCATTCATGTCTTTTTTTTCGAAACGATAGATATGAATAGACTAAAAGATATGTACAATGTTCGAGTGGCCGAATGGCCAATAGAAATCAAGAGTTCCTCAAGGAGGAACTAAAAAAATACAACCAAGACAATGTAACTAAAAGGCAGTAAAAATACTAGAACCTTTAACTAGCCTATCTAGGCCTAAATCAAAAGGAATAACTGGCCACTACACCAAAGGAACAATAGAAAAGATAGAGGGAAACCATAACAGGACAATACATAAACAAAAGAAGTTCACGGTCCAAAATACATCATGAAGAGTTAACATAAGAGAATTATTTCCACTCGGAGAGAGCTGATTTGATTGCTTCCTTCTCCGGACACCATGACTTCTGGAAGATCCACAAGTTCCTGTATTTCCATAACCACCACAGTATGTATGTGGTGAGCTCGATTTTGTCTATAACTTCAGGACCTTTTGCTAGACAAATGTCTTTCCACCAGAACTTGAAAAAAGGTGTCTCAGAGTGTGTGTTGTTCCAGTTGAGTGGTGCTAACTTTCACATTGTTTAAGCCCTGAAATAGTGGAAAAAAATTTGGTCAACGGATTCATCAGCATCCCCACAACAAGTACAAGTGGTATCAAGACTGATGCCTCTCTTAGCAAGGTTAAGGCATACATGGAGGGTGTTGTTAAAGCACTTCCAAATGAAGTGCTTCAGTTTCCCCTTCAAATTCAGCTTCCAGCTGAAAGCTCTGACTTTTTTGATCCAAGCATCAGAGCTTGTTTCTGGTATATCAAGCTTCCTGATTTTGCAATTTATAAGTTGTGCATAAGATGAGGAAACTGAGAAAAGGCCTTTGCTATCCAAAACCCAAATGTATTTGTCTTTTCTTCCTCTGGCCTGGCTAGAGATGCTAATAATAGAATCACATTCCTGAGGTGAGAAGATTTCTCTAATTAAAGCAACATTCCATCTGCAGTCCAAAGGGTGCATGAGTTGACAGACTTTGGTGATGTTGGGTGGTTATAGGGGATTCTTCGGAGGCTTGAGTTCTGGGAGTGTAGATAGCCAAGGGTGTTCCCAAATGTCTGCTGATTGCCCATCCCCAGTGACCATTCTGAGATGTTTGAAAAAGGAGAGGCAGACTTTCATCTAGCTCCTCCAAAGCCATGAGCTGCTGAGTGGTAAGTTTGCTTCAAAGAAAGTGCCTTTTGGGAAGTATTTGTATTTTAAGATTCTGCTCATAAGAAGGTGGGGTTTAGTGATTAGTTGCCAAAGCTGTTTGAAAATGAGAGCTTCATTGAATTTCAGGTCGGAGAATCCCAAACCACCACATTCCAAGGGGAGTGTAATAAGTCCAACCTTTCTAGTGTATACCTTTCTCACTGTTATCCCCTTTACTCCACCAGAACTTAGCAATTAACCTGTGTATCTCATCACAAACTGAAATGGGCAAGATAAAACATGACACACCAAACACAGGTAATGCACTGAGAACTGATTTAATGAGGATTTCTTTCCTAGCAGGAGAGAGAAGCTTGTTTCAAGATTTTTATTTGACCACATCTGTCACATAACTGAATGTCTGCTTTTTTGAGTGACAATTTGAAGAGGTAGACTAAGGTATTTGCAAGAGTGTTGAATCTAGATACCATTAAGGGTGTTGCAAATGGATTGTTGGGTGGCAGAGGGAGTGTTTTTGCTAAAAAATATGGAGAATTTCTGCATGTTCACTTTTTGACCTGTGAAGAGTTGGTAAGTTTGGAGGATTTGGAGGATGGCAGTGGCATTCTGATTTGCATGGCAGAAGAGGATGGTGTCATCTGCAAAGAAAAGATGGCTAAGGGTCGGGGCATTTCTAGAGAGTTTTATCCCCTGAATATTTCCATTGGCAGCAGCTTGTTTGATAAGGCAAGAGAACAATTTAGCAACTATTATGAAAATGTATAGAGAGATTGAGCTCCTTGCCTAATCCCCCTTGAATGGGAAACAAAACCACTGATAGCACCATTAATATTGAAAGAGTAATTAGGAGAGGTGACACAAGCCATAATCCAGTTGACAAAATGGGCTTCCATTTTTAACACGATTTTTCTGATGCTAGTCCATTCAATTATGTCAAAAGCTTTTGCCATATCAAGCTTTTAAGGCTATAAGCTATTTACCTCAAGTTTTATGCCTATTCAAATAGTAAATTTCTTCATGGGCCACCGCAACATTACCAAGCAGACTCCTACCAGGAATGAAAGCATTTTGAGTTTCAGAAATGCAGGAGTGCAGGCAATGCTTGAGTCTAAAAGCCAAGATCTTTGAAATAATTTTGTAAGGGACACCACACAAACTAATGGGTCTATAGTTAGAGACAGAGGTGGGATTATGGTATTTGGGAATTATTGTGATGGTTGTGTGGTTCCAGCTCTTTAAAATTTGGTTAGACTAAAAAAAACTTAGAATGGCAATGCAAAGGTTAGATTTAACAATATTCCAAAACTTTTGATAGAAGAGAGGGCACATACCATCTAGGCTGGGGGCCTTTTTAGGGTTCATGCTATCTAGAACTCTCTTAATCTCATTCTCTCCTACTTGGGCTAGCAGTGATAGATTTGTGGAGTTGCTGATGGAGCTTTGCAGGCAGTCAAGAAGTCCTTCTGGTTCCAATGTTCCTTTAAAGCTGAAAAGATGGCTATAGAAGTCTGTGATACAAGCTTGAATGTCTTCATTTGTTTCACAAACAAAGTTTTATTCTCTGATCAACCTGCTAATTTGGTTGGTTTTCCTTCTTTGCAGGGTATAGACAGGAAACAAATGAGTGTTCTTGTCCCCTGACTTAAGCCATTGTATTCTTGATTTTTTAGTGCCAGAAAGCTTCTTCCTCTCTGTGGGCTTTGTCAAGTTGAGATTTTAAGCTATGCCATCTATGCCAGTCTCTAGCACCACCCTAAGATCTTAGAATGTCTAGCTCTTCAGTAAAGTCAACAATCTTCTGGGAGTTCACTGTTCTGAAATTTCTGCTCCACTTCAGAAGAGAGATTCTGGTTTCCTTAATCTTGCTTTGGACTTGAAAGATTGGAGTGCCAAAGTGTTGAGTGTTCCAGGCTTTAGATATGACTTCATGAATTCCTTCTTTACCAATCCACCTTCTGTCTAAGTGGAATCTTTTTTGGGGGTGTGGAGTTGATGGAGACTCAGTTAGCAGAATAAGATTGTGTTCTGAAGAGCTTCTGCCTATGTTAGAAGAAGAGGTGAGGGGGTGCTGAGAGAGCCAGCCAAAGGAGATGAAAAACCTGTCAAGCTTTTCTTCCACAAATTGATATCCCATCCTGTTATTTCCGCAAGTGAAGGGAAAGGCTGTCATAAGGACCTCAAGCATGTTCATCTGAGCAATGAAGTTTTTGAATCCCCAAAAACTGCTCTTAGGTGTGTCTCTGTCCCCATTCTTTTCTTCTCTATTGCGAATATCGTTCTAGTTCCCACCAATGACCCATGAGTCATCCCAATTTACCTTAGCATTGAGAAGATAATCCCTCTGCATTTCCCTTTCATTGGTAGTAGCACTCATGTAGAAAAAAATGGCCCAGTGCCTAGTTGATGATGAAGAGTGCTGAAATTCAACTTCTACGCAGAAATAGTGAGAGTTTACTTTTATATGTCCTTGCTCCATAGCTAAAGGATACCACCACTTTGGCCTATGGGGTCTATGGGCAAGCAATGACAAGCAAAACCTAAGCTCTTACAAACTGTATTTACAAAAGCAGTGGATTTTCTAGTTTCTGAAAGAAAAGTTAACCATGGGAGGTGGAGTTTGATGGACTCCTATAGTTGTGGAAGTATAGAGGGCCCACCCAGACCTCTACAGTTCCACACCATAACTCTCATTTATCACTTGGGAGCCATTCCAGGCTGGCTGCCTCCACCTTTGCAGAAGAATTTTTAGGTTTTTGGGTAATAGGGCATGAGCTGTAGAAGTATCATCAATATGAGGTATAGAAGGGACAATGTTAGATTGCAATCTTCCTCTTTTTGGTTTAGAAAAGAGGGTGTGGTTTTGGTGTTTTTGGTGTCAGAGGTTGGTGTGGGAGTTGGTGTAGGTTTTGGTTTTGGTTTTGTTATCCATTTTCTAGTAGTTTTCTGTTTAGGGCTAGGGGATATAGCAAACACAAGGGTGTCAAATCATGATTGAGTCCATAGGCATAGGGGCTGCTGTTGAAACAGGATTAGGGTTGGTAACCATTTGGTTGTTAGGAATATGAGATGGTTCAATGATTGGGATGGGGTTGGTTATCATTTGGGAGGTGGAGGTGTGAATTGGGATTGGTTGAATCAAAGGTGATGATGGTGAGACAGGAGGATTGCTGGAAGAGTCTGGTATGGCCATATTTTGGTTTGGGTCTATGAAAGATATTTTAGTGTCTGAGGCTAAGGGGTTTGAATGTGGGGATTGAGAGGGTTGGATAGTGTTAGGTGAGTTAGGATTTGCATCTTTGGCCAAGTGAGTTTGTGATGGAGATGATGGAAGAGAATGAGTAGAGGTAACTAAGAATGGTGTGTGGTATTTTGATTTGTAGATGGATTGAGATTCAGGGACTTTGATCCTGTAATGCCCCACTTTGATTTAAGAAATAATCCATGGCTTATTCAAAAATCAAGTTAACATTTTCGAAATTCATTTTCAAAATCCATATCATTAGGGTATTATCTTGATTTCAATTCATATTTGAAACCTCACGGGAATTCATTACCCGGTTTTTCACATGGACTTCATTGTCCTAAAACCAACATTTCACATGATATCCAAATAACACATTCATCATGTATATCCAACCATAGTTCAATAATACGAACCAAATCATAAGTTCAAATCCAACATTTTCAAACGACATGGTCTGAAAGAAACCAACATGTTCGAAAACCAAACAATTCAAGTTCATAAATTCGGGTAAATTTATTCATAATAAAGCGGAAGCAAAATATCATAAATATGACCATCCACTCGCCATCCTGCCGTCATGCCCGCCTTGCTTAACCTGAAACGTGAATTTCAGGTGGGGATGAGCACAGTTGGAAAATGTAGTGCTCACCACTATGCAATAAATCATGTACAATATTAGTTAGGCATGGTTGCAGCATGAACACGAAACATTCAATTATCACATCTCCTAATCATAACATTTTTACTCAATGTGCACACCTATCATTAGCCATTGAAGGACATACAGCTCACAACAATGGGAGTAAAATACCGAAGGACATACAGCTCACATCGGCCTTGCCTATCATTAGGCTAAGGAGACTGCCTATAGCAAGGCACCGTCGAAGGACATACACCTCACAACGACGGGGACAACCGCTCGAAGGACATACAGCTCACAACGAGGATTACATGGTTCACACGCATGCATTAATCACGCCAAGCAACAAATCTAAATAATTTAAAGCATAGACGATTTTAGAATAACAACCCACCTGGTCGCGAAAAGGAGATAATCACAGAAGCACGAATAGGCTGCGAGCTCAGCTCGTCAAATACCTACATTAAGTCCAGATGCTATAATCAACATCTATTCTGACTTAAACGGAAAATCACAATCATACTTAGTCGAACTTGATTCAACTAAGTTGTTCGTGAAGTCCTGTGGACGTTGGAACACTTAGACTTGACCTCTAGACTCAACCAATTACACATGGAGGGTTCACATAATCCAAACATAAACATTGACCAAGTCAAACACTTAATGAAACAAATGACGAGTCGGTTTACAGTTTTTATTCTAAAAACCATATATACGAATATACTAGTTTAAATCACAAAATGAGTTGACCAGGTTGCCATACGAATGTAACCCTGAAATTTTAACTAAAATTTCACCTTCCAGAGCTAAGCAAATACACAAATTTTCAGCTTCAAATCCCAAGTACACTATTTTATAAAATTCACACAAGATATCAGCAAAACTGTAATATCCCATTCAGTAATTCATAAAAGTAATTATTTCAGTTCTAAGTTAGAACTATTTTACTTTTATTAATAATGATCTTTTATATTTCCAAGCTTTAATAAATCTCTTAGAATTTTATTTTTCAGTTGGCTCGACATTAAAGTTAAATCGGAATCGTTTTTCATTAAATTGAGTTAGTCGAGTAAATGTTATAAATTGCCTAAGTATTTTTTGTGACTTATATTATTTGATTGATAAGTAATAAGGATTAAGTAGAAGTTATTTGGACAAGAAGGTCTATTAAGAGTATATTCGAAATTATATTCGCAAGTTTCGAGTTTTTTTTGATGTTCGGTTGTAGTCGATAATTAAGTCCGATTTCGTTTCCGAAAAATTTATTTTCTTGTATTTTTTTTACAAGTTTCAAGATCATTAATAAGAGTTAAAAATTTTCAGCATAAAAAGGAAAAAGGCCAAAAGCAAAAGATGGAAATCTGAAATTTTTAGAATTTTCGATTTTTCGGTAACCGTTCGTTTTAATTCAGAATTCGGTTCTGTAAATTGGAAATTTTTCATTAAGTCACGAATTTTATCATGGAAATCAGATTAGGATAACATTATGGCCCTTTCTAAGCATTGACTATAGATTTGGAGAAGTTTACAAGTTATGATTTCTATTCTTTATCTTTATTTATTTTATAAAATTTTTAAAGTATTCTTAAGTAATAAATGGGCCATTTCATATTAAATTTGAGCCAGAATGAAGGTATGGTCAAATGGAGGAGTTTTGTCTTGATATATGCAAGAGAAATCATGCCTTTCAAGTAATTATCAAAGCTTACTCACATTTGTGCAAGATTTTAGAATACATTAATGGTAAGGGCCCTAAAGTGTTGTTTAAGGTAGAGTATTGAGGTAAAGAAGGTGATGTTGTCTCCTTTGCTACCCTATATAAAGGAGCATCAGCATAGGCTCGAAATTCACATCATAATAAGCAAAGTCTTAGCTAAAGAGGGTAAGAAAGAGAGATAAATCGAGAGAAATCTTGACGAAGATAAGTTGAGATCAACTTCCGAAGTTTCATTTTCAAATTTCTTGAAGAGGGTTAGATGCTAACTTTTTATCATATGTTATAGTTTATATTAAGTGAATATTGATGTATTTTCATTCCATATATATATATATTCAATTTTTAAAGAAATTTTAAACATGAAAAAAAAAATGATAAGTTGTTTCCAACACAATCACATGTTATATATGTACTGTTTTGATTTGAATTTGAGCACGATATGCATAACCTGGCATGTTAAGCTTATTATGGATATTTCTTGTGTAAGTGTTGAGTATATAGGTGAAAGAATTATGTCATTTGGCATAGTATATCTTGAGTTATAAATTTTTGAAGTTAAGCATGCAAGTTGAACTTTATATTCTTTATTTCAGCTGTGACTTTAAAATTTTAATAACTCGATATATACGCATGATAAAATTATGAAATTTTTACGACATGCTTATATATAAGTTAAGAACATGACTGCCAAATTTCATGATTTTATGTTGAGAAATGAACGAGTTAAAATATTTATATGGCATTCATGTCAAGATGATTTTATATGCAAGAGTATTCAGTACATGGTTGAGTTTTTAAAATGGAATTTTTAGGAAAAATTCTTATATGAGTGATGAGCAATTTGACCAATTTTCAGCTCAATATGTTAAGTATGTGATTTTATAAAATTGTTTCAAGTCTAGAATATCAATATCATAATTTATTGTTATGACAAAAACTTGTATTGGATAAGTATCAAGTTTGAGATTTTAATATCAAGCAAGTTTAAGACAAGTTTGATAGATTAAAAATCCGTATAAATCATGTATATGATATTGGTAAAAGTTGAGCATGTTTTGAGTTCATGTATTCAATTAAGTTTAATGTGAAATTTAGTTTATTTTCACATACGAGTTATTTAAGTGACATGCGAGTATAAGCCAATATCTAAGATTTAAAAGATATGATTTATATGGGTTAAGTATTTGACCTTGAGTAAAAGTTTAAGAAAAGTTTGGTTTTTCAAGGATTTCGTATTCATTTGAGAAATAGCATGTTTAATGAATATCTTTAAGATTCGGATAAGTTATCTGGTAGAGTTAAGAATCCCAGCATATTATTGAGTATACGAGCATAATATTTAGTATATTTGTTTATATTGATATGTAGCTTGAAGAGTTAGCTACCAAAGAACAACACTTACGCTTTTCAAAGTTTCAAAAGAAGAAAGGTGGGGACCCAGACTGGGTATTACATTGAGTATAATATTGATATCATGTTCGAGGTATGTATACAGTTTAAGTATATACGCTTGGGATGAAGGCTCCTAGTTGC